TGTATGAATCAAAAAGAATGAAAAGAAAAGGCGCAATGAATGAATTTACTTTCATCACTCACAAGTTACAATCATTCCCATTTTGGATATTTGATTCAAAAATGATTTCGAATGTCTTTCATGTTTACCATAATTATACGTTTGATGATATATAAATCATTTCAATTAATTTACCGCTTACCAAAGAAATATGATGTCGTTTGATGTGAAACAGATTGAATAAATGGTCGAGACATTTACAAAAACCCAAGAGCATAACAAACACATTAAGAAAACACATAAACATGAAATGCGCTTAACTTTAGTGGGCTCCATGTCCAACCCACGACATGATCTTGTCGAGCGAGTACTTGCCACCCTAAAAGAATTTGACATTTTGCTATGATCATCATACCCAAATTTCTTCGTTTGCGGTTTCAACTTTGACTTCAATTCCCCAAAATTGAGAGCTTTTGGTAATTTTCTGTTATATAAGTATTATGTAACTTGTATGTACTCGAAGACATTCTTCAATCACATGCAATTTTAAGTAGTTTCAACGTTTTAGATATAATTTTGATTTTAATATTTGACCAAACTTATTAAAAATAGCAATGTCTAAAACTTATTGTAGGCCTAGAAAACCATTCTAAAATATTATTTTTCCTTAAAATGTGTATTTCTTTATGGTTTGCAAGAGTACATCTTGCTTAGTTTCGCCCTACGTTTGCCTTACTGTATATAGAAATTTCCAAACAAGAAAGAAAAGATGATTGATTTGTTATTAATATGATGGTTAAATGATCCCCTCTCTCTCTCTCTCTATAGAGAGACGTTCAAATGAAAACCGTGCAATTCTTGGAAACCGTGTAAACTAATTTCGACCAATAGAAAAATTCCATTTTTTTCTAATTAAATTTAATCATTAAGGGTATATTGGTCATTTGCATTGTTTTCTATTAAATATGGAAGTTATTAATAAATCTTAATTAAGGTAGCATAATAAAAGAAATTTTATAAATGTTAACATTTAAATATTTAATTAAATTATAATATTAAAAATTGGATTTTGTTATATTGTGTCTCGGTTTATTATTGCCAAAATTCATGAAAATCGTAAGTTATTAGATTAATAAATCTATGAAATCAGTAATAGAAAAAAAAAATATTCATGAAACCGGTTTCGTACATGGTGAAATTGGTGTATGAAATAAGTGAAAAATGATTATGAAATGGGTGTATGATGAAACCGGTTTCATACATGGTGAAATTTGTGCATGGAGTAAGTAAAAAATGATTATGAAATGGATGCATGATGAAACCGGTTTCATATATGGTGAAATTGGTGCATGGAGTAAGTGAAAAATGATTATGATATGTGTGCATGATGAAATCGGTTTCATACATGGTGAAATTGGTGCATGGAGTAAGTGAAAATGATTATTGAATGGGTGCATGATGAAACCGGTTTCATACATGGTGAAATTGGTGCATGGAGTAAGTGAAAATGATTATGAAATTGGTGCATGATGAAATGGGTACAGCATGAAATGGGTACAACATGAAATGGATGCATGATGATATGAGTGATTGAACAATCTTATTGGACAAGTGAAACAGGATGCATGATGAATAGGGAGAGGAATTTACCATAATAGGGTGCATGATGAAAATGTGGTTGGGTTTACCATTTTCCCCTTCTCGTTATTATAAAATAAAGTTTTTAATATATATATTTTTTAATTTTTAAAATAAACTAAACTAATCTTGACCATTGATCAAAAAAAATGGATGAATAAGATTGGTTTACATGGTTTACACAAATGGAGGCGGTTTTCATTTGATCGCTCATATCTCTCTCTATGTATATATATAATTTGAAAAATTGAGAGGATATTAAGATGATGGGATGAAAAGTAAAAAAGAATAGAAAAGAAGAAAAGGGATGCATAAAGTTGGGAGTTGTAATGAGTTAAAAGTGAGTGGTTCCAACAACACAACTAATAACTTCAAATATCTAACTAATCATACCTTCTTTATTAACCCCCCAAACCCACCTCACCATTACCAACTATGCTCTGCTTCCTTTTTGGTCTTTATATCCACCATGCCACTTTCTTTCTTTTTTTATTTTTATTTTTATTTTTATTTTTTATTCTTCCACGCATTTCTATTTAAAATTAACATGCTTATACATACATACAATTTCAATTTTCAAGATCCAACACACATTTATTCCATTTTATTTGATACACATTCAAACCAAACTAACACATTTTCATATAACTGGATTAAAATCGATATCCAACTATTCTTGATTAAAGCATTCAAGATTCATTATCGTACATGTTATAAAGTTTTGGCCCTCTTGGATGTCGTTCACGAAAGGCAATGAGTTGTTCTAGATCAAGGGGACCCTACCCTTTGAAAATTTAAACACAATGACTCGGGTTTGATAGGTTTTGGTCTTTTTAAGCTCGACACAAGCTGTAGTACCATAATGCTAACAAGTTGACTCGATATCATGTAGGATATAGGCTTACTTTTGCCTCCATTATCCGATACTCAACCCTTTCCAAGATTTCTTTTCGCACGATACAAGATATATAGATATAACATAATAGTCCAATCATTTTGTTTTCACTTTTTTAGTACTTTTTTTTGTGTTAATAACAATTTTATTTTAAAATAATGAATTTAATTGATTTATTCTACTGATAACAAAGTTTTAAATGACATAAGACATGACATGACATGACAGCAAGATCAAATCTTAAAAGTCATGACGGGACTATAGCGTTTTTCAAGATGTGATTTATAACAGCAAATTTACGTATATGTTTTTTACTATCACTCGATGAATCAATGATATTAAACTACGATACAACTTAAAGCATGAGGATACGATAATGATGGAAGAAGAAGGATTATTAAACGACCAAGTCACATGAAACGAAAAGCAAAAAGGGGAAAGTGTGGGGAAAGAGTCGTTCTCAAAAGGGCATGTTACAAACAAGATAAGTTGCCTACGCAATGGGGTTGTAATTGTATGGCAGACCCCAATCCCTCCATGTTACTACCTACCNCCCACCCCACCTCCATTGTTTCAATATATCCACCTCCCTTCCCCACAATACACACACATATACATATACTTTATATATATATATATACACACACGGAAGGATTCAAACGAGTAAAAAAAGAAGTTTTTGATCCAGGTCCGTAATTACATGGACGAAATATATAAATTAGTTATAGGTACGCAAAAATATGTCTGTAATTGCGAATGTGTTTTTCTAAATTTACATATTTGGTCTCCACAATTGGAGGCTTGGTTCAAAAAAAAAATTCCTTACAAGGACTTATAGTTATTTTTATTATTTGAGAGAGAAATGACTAAAAAGTGAAATCATGCGATCAAAATGACTATTTTAATTAATTTTGATATTAATGTCATGCACTTCTTTTGATTAGTTAACATTTTTAATAAAATAATGATATCCATGCCACGTTCATAATTATACACCGTAATAAAATTGGATTTTAAGACGTTAAAAATGTCTAAATGTTTCAATAGATTATTTTATAAAACTTAAATTTATAGAATCAAATAATAAAGCGTTTTATCTAAGAGTGTTGCAATAAGCTCATATGTTGCTTTTGGATATCTTAACAAACTTTTTATGACATTTCTAAAATAAAACTTCATATTAGTTATTTTGTATGATGCTATTTGAAAAAGTATCCTATAAAAATAAGTGTCATATAAAATGATAAGTCTATAAGACACTTCTCAAAGTGTCATATAAAATAACTAGTACGACGTTTTGTCTTAAAAATGTCCTAGAAAACTTATTTAGGCGTCCAAAAGCGTTTTATGAACTTATTACATTTTTTTAGATAAGACGCTTTATTGTTTGGTTATATAAACTTAAAACTATAAAGCGAACTATTAGGACATTTGGGTGGCATTTGTTTTTTAAGAAATGCTTAAGTCTGTAATTTTATTTTACTTCTAATTTATAAGATATAATGTTGAACTCCGAAATCTGAAATCGATAAGATTGTTTGTTTTTGTGAACTACAAACGTCTGAAATCTGAATCAATGAGACTGTTTGTTTTTGTAAACTACAAACTTCTGAAATTTGAATCAATGTGACTGTTTGTGACTGTTTGTTTTTGTAAACTTACAAACACATGAATTCTGAAATCTGAATCAATAGTTTGTTTTTAACTACCTTTTTTTATAAAATTGTGAACCGTAAAACATACCGGACAAAATATCATTGACCACCCATGCCTTTAACTTTGAGTTTCCATACCTTAAATTATGTGCTTTAACTTTTCTTCAATTCTCAAAACACACTCACTCTTTAAGGCAAAAACATATACGAAAAGGCAAAGATCAAATTGAGTTTAACAGATTATACCATGTATGTATGAACGATTTGGGTTTAAAATCGAGAGATCGACATACCATTTGGAGCTCGACAGACAGAGATCGATTTGGGTTTACAAGTCTGGAGAGATCGACAGGTTGAGAGATTGATAGGGTTTAGGTTATCAGCTTGAGAGGCGAGATAAGATTGAGAACATTTACGAATAAGAGTCGGTTAAGGGTTTAGGGTATCACTTGAAATTCCATAGGACCGTTAGAGCTATTCAACTCTTATTTTAAAAAAAATCAAACAATTTGAAAAAGAAAACATCTGATCGATTCAAAGTTTAGAGGATTTTTTTTATACAATCAAAAATATAATATTAATGTCAGCGAGGCAATTAAAACCTTAACGTATTAAACTTTATAAACAAAAAAAGTAACATGCTCTAATTTTAGAAACAGAAAGTCAAATTTAAATAAAAATAAAAATTAAATAAAAAAGAATTTAGTAAATAGTATTTATTAGAATTTACAATTTCTTTTAATAAACCACCCACTTTTCCTTGTATATTGGTTTTAGTATAAATAAACACCCATTCATCCTCTTCCCAAAACCCTTGCCTCTTTCCCACCAAAACTCAATACCATCAATCAATATTCAATCATGTGCTCTTCAAACTCCAAATCAAACCATGCCACTACTCCGGCCACCACCACCGTCTCCGACATCAACGGCCGTCCGGTGCTTCAGCCGGCCACCTCCAACACAGTACCACTTAACTCTCCGCTCTTGGAAAGACGTTCACTTAAAAAGACCCTCTCCCTTCCAAAATCCATCTCCATGACTCCATCTCCGACGCCTCCTCACACCACCGCCAAAACTCCCATATCCCCAAAGCTCAAATCACCACGGCAGCCGGCCGTCAAGCGTAGCGATATGACTTCCAGCTCCGACAAGCTTGTTCTACCACTACCCACCAAATGTACAACAGCAAGATCCATGATTCCGGTGAAGAAGTCCAAGAAGTGTACTACTACCGGTGATCATCATTTGCATAATTCTGTGGAAACCACTACTAATTCGTTGGTGGTGAAGTATTCATCGGCGGCAATCGTGGATTCCCCGGGGAGTATAGCGGCAGCACGGCGAGAACAGGTGGCGGTGATGCAGGTTCAGAGAAAAATGAGGATCGCTCACTATGGAAGATCTAAATCTGCTAAGTATGATAGTTGCAGCAAGCTTACATCTTACTTTGATCCCAACTCACTTCCTTCCGCCAATATCAGAGAAGAGAAAAGATGCAGCTTCATCACTCCCAACTCAGGTGTATATCCATTTAAATCCATTTTTAAATCTTAACTACATATATATATATGTGTGTGTTTCATCAAAATTAACCAATTATGTGTGTTCAATTGTTATACAGACCCCATATATGTTGCTTACCATGATCACGAATGGGGAGTTCCTGCTCATGATGACAAGTAAGCATCCGAAACTCGGAAATTTTACATTTTTCGGTTGCATAAATGATCGATTGTTAACGAATTCTGTTTCGGTTATGAAGGGTGTTGTTCGAACTATTGGTGCTAACGGGTGCTCAGGTCGGATCGGATTGGACTTCGGTTCTAAAGAAAAGACAACAATTCAGGTCAGTTTTACGCTTTGAAAATCACTTAGAATAATTATGTTACGGAATACTAAATATGAATTTGTATTTGTGTTTGATAGGGAAGCGTTTTCGGGATTTGATGCGGAAATTGTGTCAAAGTATTCTGAGAAAAAAATAACATCAATCGGTAGTGATTATGGGATTGAAGTTAGTCTTGTCCGAGGGGTCGTTGACAACTCTAAATCTATTATTAAGGTTCAATAATTAACTCCACCCTCTTTTTCTTCGCACTCATTATTGAATATTTTAAGTTAATATTGTTTAATCAACTAATGACAGATCAATGATGCGTTCGGGTCATTCGACAACTACGTCTGGGGATTCGTGAATCATAAGCCAATCGCAACGCAGTATAAATCAAGTCACAAGATGCCTGTTAAGACATCGAAATCCGAAGCCATAAGCAAAGACATGGTGCGCAGAGGATTCCGACAAGTGGGACCCACTGTCGTCCACTCGTTCATGCAGGCCGCCGGTCTCACTAATGATCATCTCACCACTTGTCCTCGCCACCACCAATGCGTCTCCGTCTCCCTATCAGACACGACGCCGTCCAAATCTCTAATTTCCGTTGACTAAATCAACCGTTTCTAGTCAGTATCCAGTAAATTAACACGTTTATTTGATATCTAACATGACATACCACCGGGTTTTTTTTTCCTTTTGATTTGCCGTTTGTATTTGTTGATGTCAATTCTCGTTCTTATGTCTCGAAAAAGTTTAGTTTGTCGAGATAAACGTAGAAGCCTACTAATATTCTGTATTTATATGTGTGGTTTGATTGGGTGTAAAATGGATTGAGTTGAAATAAAGAGATGTGGATCACGTGACAAGCATGTGCAAGTGTGGGCAAGGGATGGAATCTGGTGCATGTGCTTGGTGACCACTTGTCTGCCAATTAATCATGTTGCTTTACTTTTATATGGCAGCCTAGCAGTGGGGACCACCATGCTCCAATTATATAATGCCACCTCGTCTACCATAAAAGATACCTTCTCTTTGGGTTATTTTCCCTTTTTTTTTATTTATAATTTTCAACTTAAAAATTCTAATCAAGACTAACGATATAAATTAAAACATAGTTTATTGTGATAATTGTAAGGAGTTGTTTGTTTACCTTTTAATAGTTTTATTAAAAGATAACATTTGAATCGTTAAAAGATGAATCTTGTCTGGTAAAAAAAAAATTTGGCTCTTAATAGTTCTAAAACCTTCTAAATTATTTTGTATCTTGGGTCTCCCTTAACCATTAAGTGCCCTAATTTCATTGTAGACAATTATCAAACAATTATATTTCATTTTACATTATATCATGATAGACTCTTAATCATTCTGATTACTTAATCATTCTACATCAAACCATTTAACAATTGACAAACAACCTCTTAGAATGGTCTTTTATATTGTTTTTCTTTTTATTTGGTATTGATGTGTGTAAAATTGGTGATTGTAATATATAATCGTCATAAAATTGTAAATGTTTTGAAATTTCACTCATTTTTTCTGTTTTGATTTCTTTAAATAATATTATGTTATTGTATAAAGAATTTATAATGAATAGTCTCTCTCTCTCTCTCTCTATATATATATATATACATATATATATATATATATGGTGTTACGTTAACCCTAGTTATGAATACTGAGGTCACAAGAGCTCGAAAAGATCTGTTTTGTAGTTTGGTTATTTCCCCGCAAGCAAGATCAATTATGTAGAAAGCAAACATTGTTTAATGACGGCACGAATAAGTGATTAAGTGAAAGAACAAACATAACTTTTGAGAATTTTTCTTGCATTGCACTTGAAACCAACACCCAAAAATGCCGAACTAAGTCCTTCATTAAATGCAAATAATCAAAGAAATGTCCTGTCAATTCGGGAACCTACAACTTTGACTTGATTGTCGACTCGTCTCAAGAACTCGAATTAAAGGCCATTTATGTATCCAAGCCATTGTTGGTCTCATCCTTCAGCGTGTTGAATCATCTATTTGATTCTCCATATCATATGATAATTTGAAAGATTACTAATCTTTATATTTTTTATGAATATCGATTTAAGATTATGTAGTCTGTGAATTGAATTGCACTTTCAACTTCTACATGTCCTCGGTCACATATATCTTCTTCCCTTTCATAGTCACTTCAAATCAACCATTGACCTTGGTTGCGTTATCTTTTAAAGAATTGGGTAAGGAGTTGTTTACCCGAACGTTTATGCAGTAAGTGCTTACCTGTAAGAGTCAACACTCTAACTTATTTATCCGTAGCTAAGATTGTAGTCTACTAAAACATTATCGTATGCAACAATTTACCAGGTAAGAGTCATCATCCTCACTTACAGTGCAAGACTTTCCATCCTTATTTGTCATTCTTACCTAGTAAGATCATCAGTCTTTGTCATGTTTATCGGTAAGGTAAATGACTCAGTAAGCGCTTACCAACTCTACCAAGGCAAACTTGTATCTTTCTTGTAGTTTCAAAATATATACGGTGATACACAACAAATTGATATGGTGACACTTTTCACAACCTTGTAATATTTTACACTACAACAGAGGAACGAAGAGATGGCACCAGTTATAAACCATTACCATCCATTCTCAAAATAAATCATCATATACTTGTATGGATCAAATTTCCAACATCATTTGATATGGTATGATCCAGGCCCGTCCCTTGGGCTATTAAAACTGCTATTTAGAACAGGGCCCCCAAAATTTTGGGGCCCAAATTTCACAGCCCTTCCTTCTTCTCCATGAATGACGTTTCGAATTTCAATCTTCCTTAATCGTCGTCATCTGCCCCCTTCCTTCTCCATGAACCCGAATCTATCTCTCATTTGCTCCTTCCTTCTTCATGAACCTGAATCCAAAGTCTTCCTTTTGTTGACAAGAAAGATTATCAACCTACATCACCTTGTTCCCGTCTGGTGTTCGGTGGCATTGGTTTTAGTTTAGGTTACCAATTTTGTTACTGGTTTTGATTTGGGTTACCAATTTTTTTTTTGGTTTTGGTTTTGGTTTTGGTTTTGATTTCAATTACTGATTTCGCTTTAGGTTTTGGTTTGGATTCTCGATTTCGTTCCTAGTTTTGATTTGGGTTACCGATTTTGTTTTTGGTTTTGCTTTGAGTTACCGATTTTGTTTCTGGTTTGATTTGGGCTACCAACTGCTTACTTCCCTTTTCTACTCTTATCAGAAAGTTATCATTTTATGGGATCCTTTTTGATTTTGTGATCCAACTTGTTTTGGAAGTTGAATCAAGATTCAAGCAGGCTAAGAACGTACATGGGTATCACTTGCATCGCTTATGTCAATGCAATTTTGTTAAGGATTCAATTGGTAGCTAACTTCAACAATTTGTTTATTCTTCTTGATCTCTGCATCATTTCGCTTACAATTAACACTTCTGACTTCACTATCCATTCATGCCCACAATCTGTTTGTTTTTATTCCTCTTCATTAAAATTGATTATGTAAAGTAGTTTTCCATCTGTTTTTTTAACTTTTAAGTCGATGGGTTTGCCTATAGCTCGATTTGGTCGACAAGCGAAAAGGTCATATGGGTTTTTTATAAAGTTCGCATCAGTGGCAAACTTAGGATTGTGATTTGTGTCTGTTTGGTATATATTTTGTCCTTTAGCTGCTTCTCTCACATCTCGAAGAAGCACTTTTGGTGAAATGGCAGATCCATTTCAAAAAGGGGTCAAATAAGAAGCAGAAGTTTACAAGTCCAATATTTGATCCGAAGGCCGAGTATGGCTGAAAATTGTGTAGGACAAGAAGTAAGCATAACTATATTCCTTGTACCGACATTGAAGCCACTTCAAAACGAATGAAAAGTTATTGTCATCATGAGAGGAGTTGTCCCAAGAATCCTTTAATGTGCCTTGTTATTGAATTGTAATAGTAGTATGTGATAACAGGTGTAAGAGGGCCTCCAAAAAGATTAGGACGACCCTGGTATGAACATACCATAATCTCAAAATTAAACATTTATCTCATCATAATTCATTCGGCATCATTCGAAAACTTAGATAATTCGATTTATAACTAATATGTTAATTGTTTTAACATATTTTGATATTCAATAAATTCGAAAGCTTTTTACTTTGAAACATAATAAGCGTGTGTGTTAAAACGTTGTCAGGTTAGCCCACTCGCAATAAGACTCAAGTCTTTAGTATTCTTTTTCAAAGGTTACTGTTTCGAGTCCCTTCAAGATCATTGAGAATTTTCCTGTCTGTTTTATAGGATCCCATGAAATTAATCGAGAGGACAAACAAAATAACTATGCATGGCTTATAACAGTATTATAAAAGCAGGAAGTGTATTACTATTAAATTATTAATTATTATAGTCCATATATCGAAAGGATAAAAGAAATGGTTTAAACAAGCCCAATCCAATAACAGCAAACTTGGGCTGCTTCGGCCCAATACATTCAAATAAAAGGGCCCAACCACAATAAATGGATCCCAGAATTATTTAATCGGACTTCATATATAGCGGAGGGTGTTAGTCATGTCGTGCGACCAGATAAACCCCATACCCTAAATCATGCATCCAACATAATTTTGATGAACCCGTTCTTCTTCGCTTGAAAACAACGTCTATGTCGTTAACAAATGATTCGGTTACAATTTCTTGGTAATTCTTATTACTTATATGAGGGTTTTAACACGTACTGTTATACCAAGAACATTCCATCATCAAATGATCGTTTATAGCTGTCGGGTCGAACTTAAATTGATTCTAGCAATAAGTTTCTAATACAAGGAACATTAGATGTCTCAAACGAATTTAAGAGCATCTACAACAAATTCTCCAGTATTAAGATTTTGGGATTATGAGTTAATTTTTTGCTTATCAAATTCTTAAAGTGAAAAGTAAAAGAGAGATGATAAATTCCACATTTGAAGAACTCTGTAAGTTATTATATGCCCATGACACATGTCACATAGAAATACTGTCAATAAGTATTTAAACCTATAGGGTTGCATATAAAGAATATGTCTGCTTCTATTTTCATATTCCTGAATTAAATCATGTTGACTGATAAAAATAATTATTCTTGTAGAATATATATAGGAATGCATTAAAATGCAATTATGATAATTACAGGTATTATCTGTGACATGTATATATTTATTTTAAAGTTTAATATAATTGCATATATATATTACAAATAACTACATAACCTTATTAAAATTATAGTCTATCTATAATCCAATGCATATAAATATGGTGATAAGCAAAAGATGCATGATGATTCAATCTTTCAAGCTAAAAACACATATCATATCTAGGGTTTTGGGCTAGCACCGAGTAGGGATGGTGATTTACCCCGACCCGATGGGAAACCCGGTTCACCTGACCCGAACAGGGACGGAGATTCCCTACAAACCCCATAAATTGATTCTTTTGATCATGTCCAACAGATTCTCCAAAATGGAGAGAAATGACGGATTTTGGAAATTTTGGGCTCCAATAGATTTTCTAAAACATTTTTCAAGATGAAGAAAGTAGGAGAGAGAGAGTAAATTTCTTCAAATTTAAAGAATTCTTTAAAAGCGATTGCTAATAAGAGAAAAGAGTTCTTTTTTATCATTACAACTAACAGAAGTCATGGAAACCAAACGTTTATGAAGAAAAATAATATTTTCTCAAATGTATTAGATGTTTTAATAACATAATTAATATTTTTTATCTTTAAAACAAAAAAATGTATAAAAATTGAATATAATTATTTCAAATATGTTTGTTCTTGTTCTCCAATTAAAACATAAATTGCATGATGTTGGGGGATTGGGTGGAGGATTCGCATA